ACTTGCTTCCTCTTTGTATTTCCTCTGTTGGATGACAGCTGTGGCTTTCTCCCCAGGGTCACCAGTCACTGTTCTCCCCACAGCCTTTCTGGGGCTCCTTGTTCTACTTCACATGGAATCTTTCAGCCAGGATCTTGGAGAAGTTCCTGCCCACACTGCCCAGGCCTCTTGCCCAGGCCTTGAGAATTGACTGAGTGGCAAAGAGGCCTCAGAGGTGGCCCCAGATCCACAGCACAGGCATCTTCCCCTGAGGCCCCTCTGGTAGGTTGTTGAGATACACACCAGGATAGTGAGAACCAGTCCCAGCTGAGTAGTGAGTAGACCAGGATACTTTTCTTCTCTGCAGTTATAATTACCTTGTTCCCTCATGACCTTCATTCCTGTTTTGCTTAATCTTAATCACACCCAAACCCTCCCCAGGGTCAGAATCTCCATGGACATATCACAAACCAGCTATTCTACCCGCTTCATCCTGTGCAGACCCCTGCCCCACAGCCTCAGTCCTGCCTCCCGGGCCTGGAGCCTGCTCACTTGGGCAGGGCTGATGGCCTGGATCCCTCACCTCACCCTTGGCCTCGCTCCTAAACCCCCTCCCCTGTGGCTGATTTTCCTGTGTCCTGTTCTCTGTGTCCATCATCTTCGTTCCCCTTTTGCCCAGTAATGTCCTTTGCCCACTAGAGAAGGGACGTGGACAGTAACCCTTGAGCCCATGAACAACTGAAGTGAATGTCTGTGCCACCAGGGCCTCCCTCACCTGGGCCTGACATGGGGTCTGGGCTGGATTCCCCTGAGGACTGGGCAGGCCTGGCTCCAGGGTCTTTTGGCCTCCAGGCCTGAGTTGTCTCTTGAGGGCCCCAAGGTCTGTCCTCCAGCCTATTTCTGAAAGTTCCTGGGGGGGATCGTGGTGTGGGGCTGTTCCTCTGTAGGCGGAACCAGGTAGGACCTTAGCGTGCACATTTTATCTTTGAATGCTCAGGGATTTTCTTGAAATTTTCTCATCATTTCCACTGTCCATTTTTTTATTTATACAAGAACTGGGGTACAGGCCCAATGCACAGGAGGGTGAGAGGACTCACCAGAGACAGAGTGGGGAACAGAACAGGCAGATTGAGGTTTAGCGGGCGAGACAGGAGAGGTCTGCTCACCATGTGGATTGCTCCAAGGCCGTCAGGGATAGAACCGGCACTGCCCGCAGAGCGGAGGCTTTGGACAGCTTCACAGCGCTGAGCTCAACCACCTGCGGCTCCAGGGAGGCCCTCCACTGTCCATTCTTTTAGACACTTGTATTATTAACTTGTTGGAATCTCCCCATCAATAGACTCAGTTTCTTGTAGGTCTTCTCTCTGCTTGTCATTTCTTTTCCATTTACATTATTTAGTGAGAGTGAGACGTTAATATTCCAGTTCCTCTACTAATTTATTCATTTCTATGATCAAATCTCTAATTTTTAATAACTCTTATTTTGAGCAATGAAATTTATAAACTCTTTTTTTTCTTTTTTCTTTTTTTTTAGTACTAGAAAATAACCAAATTCCCTATATATGCATAGGGGATCTACATCTCAATGAGTGTCTGATATCCCTGTCAGGAAACGAGGATGTGTCTCCTGAGCTAAGGAGTGAGATGGGACCTGGGACCCCAGGAGAGAGGAGGGGTCACAAGGCAAGGACAGGATGGCTCATATGATGAAGCCCAGATGTTCTATAATTATGTTATCCCTGACACATAGGTAGTTTTCTCAGATACAAAACTCATTTCTGGTATAACTCTAATTTTGGGTAAGACCACCAGTTTTCATACCAGGTAGTTATAGAAGTGGTAACCTGCCGGGGACCAGCCTCCAGCAAAATGTCATGTCAGGTGATCCTGAAAGGATGAGACGGCCTAGGCGACACGTTAGGGGCTAAAGGGAAGGGGATTAAGGAGACACTGATACTGAATGGGGTGCAAATCTCTTCTGCCGAGAGACTCAGCACGTCTTTATTTATTCATTTTTAGTAATCAGAAAATTATATCATCATGTGCAAAGCAGAAACAATTAGTGTATTTTATTCCCATGGACTACTGGCTCCTACGGGTCTCAGCTAGACGGTAGCTTTCAAGGTTAATAGATAAAACCAAACCTAACACTAAAACTTATTATTTCAGCTAGACAATTATCTAAGACAGTGGATAGCCGCCAGTGCACCCCTATCAGCTAAAGCCTAAGCATCCAAAGACTCTTCTATTCATATGGCCTTCAGCCAGAGACCAGCTGCTGCTCAGCTATCGGAACTTTTTCTACCTAGAAACTCCTTAACACAGTTAACTTCATTTAAAACTATCCTAAGAAACTTCTAAAAAAGCAAAAGAAGGATTTACTATAATTGTTGTGTTAGATTGCTTGTCAGATATATACAATAAATTGTCTCCCATTGTCAAGTGGGCCCAATTGTTTAATAACTAATTTCTAAACAGATAATTTTCCATGCCATTCACTTACAGTCTGCTGATATGTGTAATTTATTGCCTAATGTACTTTCTGGGAAATTTTGTCTCTCTTTATGACCAAGAACAAAAAATGAAGGAATGTTAGATCTTCAGCCCCACAGTGTGAGGCACAAGGAATCTTTGGCCCCACAGTGTGAGGCTCTTTAGCTTCGGCCCCACGGTGTGAGGCCCTTTAGCTTTGCTGCTTGCCAGTGTCTTATCTGGCTGGGGCAACAAGGCCCCCTGCAGCAGTAACTGTTTCTTAAGAGGAACCCCTGATGAACCTCAGATGGAAATAATACACATGCCAAAGTGGCCTGTCTGGGGGACACCTTTCTGTATACCAGAGGGAGGTCCGTCCTTCAGAGCATCATAAATGAGGGTGAGGACGGGGCCAGGACCAGGAGGCAGATTAAGCTACAGGCCTCCTCAATGTGGTTGGGTCCTAAAACAGGACGTGGAGAGGGGCTGAGGGCAGAGGGGACAGGCTGGTCTATGGGGCCAGAGCCTGTGTGTCAGGGGAGGGAAGTGACAGTTACGGGAATAGATATAATCTGTTCTCCTTATGCTTAATTTGTTGTTAATTTTTTTTCCATCTCTTGATACTATTGATAATAGTGTTAGGGCTCCTGCTTCTCTCTTTCACAGTAAACACGTTCCTTCCTCCCAGCACAGGCCTCAGGTCCAGTTTACACGTGTCTTTGTCACCTTTACTCAGTGTCCAACTCTCACGACAGTGCAAGCTCCACGTCTCCAGGGTCCTGTCTCTGCTCCCCATCGTATCTGCAGGGGAGGCAGCTTGGGGAGGCAGGAGCCAGCCAGGGAGAGGGATTCTGGGAGGTGAAGGGCAGGCAAAGGCAGAGAACACTTGGGAGATGCAATCTGGTTTCCTGAGAAAAGCATTTCTCAAAGTGTGGTCTGTGGAGCCCTTGAAGTCACCGAGAACCTTTCATGGGGTCATGAGGTAAAACTAGTTTCAAAACATCACTTAGACACATTTTTGTCTTTTCACTATTTGGCATTTGCTGAGGTAAAATTTAGTAAGAGTGAAGCTTATGGTACCACTGCAGAAGTAGTGATTCTTCACCAGCACTTACCTGCAGGAACAATCATTTAGCCAGTTTCACTTGAAAATGTCCTGGAAAAACATTAAACGTTATCTTCATTAGTGCATTATCCTCAACTTCACATTTTAAAATATTTGGTGTGCTGACCTGGAAGGACACACAGAGCACTTCTGTGGCATCCCCAAGCACTGAGTCCCGAGGAAAATATTTGTATGAGATGAATTAGACTCTTTTTACTTGTGGGCAATACCAATCTTCCCTGAAGGGATGAATGACAAAAACTAAGGTTATTTAAATTTGGTTAATTAGCACACATGATCCTCAAAATGAATGTATGTTTCTTTCTTTTTTTTCCAAGTTTTTTTTTTTATTATTATTTATACAATAGCTGGGGTACAGACCAGAGGCACGGGAGGGTGAGAGGATTCACCAGAGACAGAGTGGGGAGCAGAACAGGCAGACTGACTGAAATATACTGCTGACGGGAGCAGCTGGTGAGACAGGAGAGGTCTGCCAGGCCAGTGGGAATCTCCCTAACCCGCCAGGAGTGGAACCTGTGCTGCATAGGCTGTGGACAGCTTCACAACACTGTGCTCAACATGCTGCACCACCACAGAGGCTGAATGTCTGTTTCTTGTAGAATATCAACAATTAGCAAGTGACCGTAATTTTGCCTGATAAAATAAGCTCTCAGATAAAACCAGAATTATGAAAAATTGAGTGCATCACTACTTGACAATTTACAGTACAAATTTTTCTTTTGGGATTTGTGATTAAAAAATAAAACTTTTTTTGAGCATTTGATTCCAGTGTAATTAGCACTAAATATCTATGTAACTTAGTGAAACAACGTATCACCTTAAAAAAGTATACATTAGGGCCTCAGAGGTGGTAGAGCAGTTGAGCACTGGGCTGGGAATCTCCCCACAGCCTCTGCAGCACCAGACGGATTCCCTGCCACCAGCTAGGGTCCCACATGGAGGGCAGACCTCTCCTGCCGCCTGCTGCTCCCCTTAGCAGTGAACTTCGTCAGTCTGCCTATTCTGCTCCCCGCTCTAGCTCTGGGGAATTCTCTCACCCTCCCGCGCTTCTGACTATACCTAGTGCTTATATAATAAATTAATTAATTAAAAAAAATCATATATTAGCACAAGTTCCAACCAATATGCAAGAGAAGGCTATGGAAATGTAACAGAATAGGAAATATTCCAGATATTATTTCAGGTTTCACTTAACAAATAACCTTGGAGAAACTACCACCTGTACAGTTTTCAATTATCTGAAAACACTACTACTTTCTTCATTCCTCCAGGCTGCTGCTTCTCCCAGCCCAAATCCACTCCTCCCTAAGGTGGGGAAGGGAATTTGGAGCCTCTCCTGTCTGTGATGTCACCCTGTCACAGCATCATGTCTCTCTCTCACAGGCTCTGTGGGGTGGTGCAGACTTGATGACCCCACACTCACCCCCATTCTCTCTCCCCATTTCCTGGGGGTGTCCAGGGAAGACAATCAGCATCATTCTGCTCCAGTTACAAAGTCTCCAAGGACCCTCCTGGACTCATTCTCCCCAGAGCCCTGGATGTGGGTGTGATGCCCCTCACCCTCCTGCTGCTGCTCTGGGGGCCCCTGGCCCTGATGGAGACCCGGGCGGGTGAGTGCGTGTCCAGCTGGACACTGTTGCCCCAGGAGGGAGGAGCAAGGAGCCCCCTGCGGGTGCAGGACCCCAGGAAAGGCTCATCTCCCCCCAACCTCTTTTACCCCTTCAGGCCGGTTGTGTTCTGGCCCCTTCTGTCCCTCCCGCCTCCCCTGAGTGCTCTGGTCCCCTGAGTCTGGGCCCTTCTTGGCCCACCCGCCTTTTCACTCTCACGGCCCCGCCCCTTTCTCCCCTCCAGGCCCATCTCCCTGGGCCCTGGGCCCGCGCAGAGAGGAGGGTCAGCCCGGGTCCCCCCTCCCGCCCCCAGGTTCCCACTCCCTAAGGATTTTCTACACCGCGATGACCCGGCCCGGGCTCGGGGAGCCCCGCTACATCGCCGTGGGCTACGTGGACGACACACAGTTCGGGCGGTTCGACAGCGACTCCCCGGGCCAGAGTGCGGAGCCGCGGGCGCCCTGGGCGGGGCAGGTGGGGCAGGAGGCCCTGGACCAGGAGACTCTGATCCAAAGGAACAACGCACAGTGGTTCCAAACGCTCCTGAGGGACCTGCGCGGCCGCTACAACCAGAGCAAGGACGGTGAGCTTCGCGGAGCGGGGCCAGGGTCAGGTCACCCCTCATTCCCACCATAAGGCCGGGGTGTCCCGAGTCTCAGGGTCCACTGACCCCTCGAGGCTGGTGGATCTGCCAGGACCCTCCACCGGGAAGGGACGTTCCTGCCGGCCCTTTCATTATCAGTTTAGGTTTATTCAGGGTGAGGGGGGTGACCGTGGGGTGACCTCAGGGCTGACCACAGGGATGGGTGTTAGGGTCTCACACCCTCCAGAGGATGTTTGGCTGTGAAGTGGGGCCAGACCTGCGTCTCCTCGGCGGGTATGAAAAGTTCGCCTACGACGGCGCGGATTTCATCTCCCTGAGCGAGGACCTGCGCTCCTGGACCCCCGCGGACTCGGTGGCTCAGATTACCCAGCGCGAGTGGGAGGCGCAGGGGAGGGCCGAGCGTGTCAGGATGAGTGTGCAGAGCAGGTGCTTCCCGTGGCTCCTCAGATTCCTGATTTTGGGGCAGGAGGTGCTGCAGCGCACAGGTAAGAGGGACCACAAGGCCCCATATCTCCCTTCTCCTGGCGCCCCACAGGGAAAATGGAATAATGGGCAGAACAGCAGCTGCTTTCTGGGCAGAGAGGGAGAGTCCCCCTGGGTTTCATGTTCTGTGCTAGAGAGAGACTCGCCCAGAAGACACCACTTTTCTGGACGGTTAAGGAATCCAGTCTCTCCTGAGGGAGGGAGGCCATCTTGAAATAACTCTCCCTGGATCCTGTGACCCGGCAGCCATCCTGGGAACCATGCGTTTCCCTTTCAAGGTCTTGTTTTTGGTCTGAGAACAGTTTTGGATCTGACTCCTGCCATTCTGTGCCATTCACCCAGGTCAGGAGCAAAAGTCTGTGTTCTTCTTAGAGACCTGCATCCTCCTACCCTGGGCTCTCACCTGATTATCCAGATTCTCCAGACTAGGCTGGTTTCTGGACTTTGTGCTTCCTCCCTCCAAACCAATTGTCATGTCCATTCTGAGGATGGTCAGTGAGGCTGCTTCAGTGTCCAGGAAGGAAAAACCCAAAGTGTGAACTTTTTGTCCCTTCTCCTCAGATCCCCCAAAGACACAAGTGACCCACCACCCCACCTCTGAGAATGAGGTCACCCTGAGGTGCTGGGCCCTGGGCTTCTACCCTGCGGACATCACCCTGACCTGGCAGCGAGATGGGGAGAACCTGACCCAGGCCACGGAGCTGGTGGAGACCAGGCCTGGGGGCGATGGAACCTTCCAGAAATGGGCGGCTGTGGTGGTGCCTTCTGGAGAGGAGCAGAGATACACGTGCCATGTGCAGCATGAGGGACTACTGGAGCCCTGAGACCTGAGATGGGGTAAGAAGGGATCGTGGGCACTGACCTTCTGCTCAGAGGAATCTGGGGCCCTTTTGGAGACCTTCAGAGTATCAGGTGGAGATCTGGGGCTCAGAGTCTCTCCTTCCCTTCACTTCCAGTGCCCCCTCCTTAGTCCTCCATCCCCACCTTGGGCATCATTGTTGGCCTGGTTCTCCTTGGCGCTGTGCTCACTGGAGCTGCGGTGGGTACAGCTGTGATGTGGAGGAAGAAGTGTTCAGATAGGGAAGGGAGTGGGGGGTCTTGTCCACTGGGGGCTTTCAAGTACCAGGGAGAACTTGCCCTACCTGGTTACTAAGGAGTATGATCCACATACATATGTTGCCCAGTCTGGAGCTGATTGCGAGCACTCACTCTTTTGTAAAGCAGTTTTGAAAAAGAATCACCAATTATTCACCTTATAACTGTGGTGATGGGGATCTCTTTCCCAGTAAATGTCATAGGGGAAGGACTGTCCTGAGGAAAGACTCCATTTCCCTTTCATATCCATTCTTCATATATCCCAGTCCTGACCTTGGTCTTCAATCACATTTTTAGAAACTTCCCTGTGACCCAGACTTGGGGATTCCTTTAGGGCTCCATGGGCTGACTCCTCCCTTGTCTCACATGATGTTTCTTCCCACAGGGGGACAGGCACAGGCAATCAGCTACACTCAGGCTGCAGGTAAGTGTGGATCAGAAGGCAGTGTAGAGGACAGTGTAGAGGGAACTCTAGGCGAGTCACCCTCATCAGTTCCTCTGAGGATCTCATCTCTGGGCTCTGACCAGGTCTCTTCTGTGCTTCCTCAAGCAGCAACAGTCCCCAGGACTCTGGGATGTCTCTCACCCCCTGGGACACCCCAGAGGATGGGGCCAGGTTGTGGGGAGCTGTGAGTGGGACAGTCTTAGGATGCAGTGGGCTATTGAGAATGTTATCACTTAATGTAACTCACCCGAATTTCTTCAACATTATTTTCCGTCATAGAATGGGAGCTCTGCCTTGTGTGGGACTGAATGTTATAGGATTTCTCTCACCCCCATTTTGTGACTTCAGGTTTTTCTGATTAATTTTTTTTCTATATTTTAATTTTGTTTTCTAGCTATCAGTGATTGATATAAATTTTTTTATTAAATCTATTTTTTCTCTTACATCATTGTTAATTTTTGTATAATACTTGATTTTTCGCTCAGGTGTAGTCCTTATAGTTCTCTCACCACCATAGCACCCATGATCCATCACTACAGTCCCTTGTGCTCTTCCCTCCCCTGTTTGGAACCATCTGTCTCCCTTTTCCCTCCTGTAGCCTCAGATCTATGATCAGTTTGCAAATTTCATCTTTATTCTGACCCTTGTTGATTTCTGTATATCCCATATATAAGGGAAACCATCTGATATTTATTTTTTCCATCTGACTTATCAAGCTTATTATCCCTTCCTACTCCATCCATATTTCCAAAATGGCATGAGCTTATGTTTTTGATCACTGAGTAATACTCCACTGTATGTATGTACAACATCATTTTGATACAGTCATCTACTTTTGGGCATTTGTGTTGTTTCTAGGTTTTACCTTTATAAATAGTGCTGCAATAAGCATAAAGGTACAGGTGTTCTTTTGAATCAATGTTTCTGTGTCCTTTGCGTAGATCCCTAGGATTGGACTTGCTGGGTCATATGGTAGCTCCATATTTAGTAGACTGAGGATACTCCAGACAGCTTCCCATAGTGGTTGGACCAGTTTGCATTCCCACCAGCAGTGTAGTAGAGTTCCTTTTTCACCACACCCTCACCAACATTTCTTGTTGCTAGTTTTTTTTATATGTGTCATTCTTAATATTACTCAGCAATCAAAAAAGATAAACTCATACCATTTGCAGCAGCATGGGTGGAGCTAGAAGGAATTATGCTCAGTGAAATAAGTCAGAAGGAAAAGGAAAAACATTGGATGGTTTCACTTATAGCAGGAATCTAGGGGAACCAAATAAGACATCAGCTTAAAAAAATAATAACATTACAAAACACAACAAAACAAAAGCAAACTATTATAAACCAGAGACATCCTACAGGGTAGGAGGAGGGAGAGGGATCAGAGGAAGCAGGGGAGGGAGGGGCAAATGGGACTGAGGTGATGGTGCACCCGTGCGCCAGTGAAGGAAATTCTATGGGAACTACACTTGAGGGGGTGGGGAAGCAAATATTGTTTAAAAATGAACAATGATGTAAAAAAATAAATAATTTTTAAAATAATAAAAAAATAAAATATATATATAAAAAAAGGGCAAAAACACCAGGGGAGTGATGGCTCCTACCACATGGATAAACTCTTCTTCCTTCAGTTTGCTTCTTCAGGTGCCAGATTTGTGTAGAACACACAGGTTCCTCCCCTTTTAAGACCTGCTGGTGAACTTCAGAAAAATCAAGCCTCCCAGAGGCTACAAATATTTACTTGTTCTGATCTGCACCTTCTGTGGGTGGGTAGAGGTGTCCCCTCCAGAACGGAAAAGGCCCGAGGAGTCACCAAAGCTCTTGTAAGAGAAATAATTCCTAGATATGGGGTCCCCGTGACTATTAGCAGTGATACTGGCCCAGCCTTTCCTGCCTACCAGCCACAGAGTTCAGGGACAGTAGATCGTGTCACCCGAACCATTAAAACGACTCTGGGAAAATTTTGCCAGGAAACAGGTTTGCCTTGGGTGGGCCTTCTCCCTTAATGCCGCTCAGAATTCGGTGCACTCCCCGGGCCAGTGGCTACACCCCCTTTGAGATTTTGTTTGGCCGGCCTCCCCTGTTGTGTCTATGGTGAGGGGAGACCTCAGACACACTGGCCAACTGGGACTAAGTCGGCAGTTTCAGCTCCTTAGTAATGTCCTACACAAGATTCATGAAACTCATCCAGAGGGTGCCGTTCCTCTGGGATACCCAGTTCATCCCCACAAATCTGGGGACTGAGTCTGGGTAAAGGACTGGAAAAAGAGCCACTCAAACCTGTGTGGGTGGGGCCCTGTACTGTCATCCTTACAACCCGACTGCTGTCAAATTTGCAGGTGTTGCTCCGAGGGAACAATGCTCCCCAGATACGCCAGCTCGCCTGAGATGTCAGCACAGTGGACGGTCTGCCTGGACCCTGCACACCAGCTCAGATTGACCCTGCAGACTCCGACCAAACACCGTGACCTGCTGCAGCCCTGCTCCAACCACAGCCCGGAAGGGGGTTGGCCTGAGCACGGCGGGAGCTCGAGAAGCATCACAGGCGGAATGCTTATGGGCTGCTGGGTTTGGACCCCAGTGTTGGCTGCTTCTCTTGTTTCTCTTGGTGGGACAACATCACCACACTGTGCCTTGATCGCGCCTGTCCTGGGTCCACTGGTCTCCGTCTTGTGATGCTTGCTTTTGGGCCGTGTCTTTAATCTGGCCACTCAATTTTTCCAGTTCTGTTTGGAAGCTACTAAACTCCAAATGTTAGTTGGACAATATGAGCCCTTAGGCTCCTTTCCTGCTGCTTGCTATGGGTCCATACCTTGGTATGGCCTAGCATATATTAGGGGTATCAAAGGGAGGCAAATGAAACAAAGTTTCCCAAGCCTGCTGCTTGGGGGCATCTACCGCTTTTTTTCTGCTGCTTGCTGAAGCCAAGAAGTTGCTGGGTGTACTGCACTGCTTGTCGGTGATGTTAGCTGTGACTCCCTTGAAGCCCTTTCCCGAACAATAAAGAATACTTATGCTATGATGGATGGGATAGAAAATTTCCTCATACAAACTGTATAAAACTTTGCCATTCTTGTTCTTGGGTGCTTAGCTCTTTGGGGATCAAACCCACTGAGCCCACTGGTGTGACATAAAATCTCTCTCTGTCCACCTCTCTGAATGCTGTCTGATTTCTCTGGGAAGTTGCTGTAACAAAACCATTTCATATCTGTGAGAATGACCTATATCAGAAAGACAAGATATTAACAAGTGCTGGTGAGGACCTAGTGAATAGGGAACAGTTCTACATTGTTTTGGGAATGTAGACTCCTTCAGTATCAAGGTTTCGGCAAATAGCCAAATCACTCTTGACTAAAAAGAAGGAGAATGGAGGCATTACACTCCCACACTGCAAACTATACTACAAAGCCATATTAATTAAAACAGCGTAATACTGGAACAAAATCAGACACAGACCAATGCATTGAATAGAAAACCCAGAAATAAACCCACATATTTATGGACAACTTGTCTTTGACCAAGGAGCAAAGTATATGCAATAGAACAGGGACAGTTTGTTCAATAAATGGAGCTGGGAAAACTGAACTGCTACATGCGAAAAATGAAGTTAGACTACTACCTCACGCCACGCACAAAAAGCAACTCAAAGTGGATGTAAGAATTCAACATAAGACCTGAAACCAGGGCCTCTCCAGTGGCACAGCGGTTGAGCGCTGGGTTGCGAAGCTGCCTGCAGCCTCTGCGGCGCTGGTTCGATCCCTGGCTGCTCCCCGGCCTCCGGATGAGGGTCCCACATGGCGCGCAGACCTCTCCTGCCGCCCGCTGTTCCCCTCAGCAGTGTTCTTCGGTCCTTCTGCCTCCTCTGCTCCCCGCTGTGGCTCTGGTGAGTTCTCTCACCCTCCCGCGCTTCTGACTGTACCCAGTGCTTGTGTGAATAAATAAATAAATAAAATCTTTAAAAAAAAAAAAAGACCTGAAACCATAAAATATATAAAAGATAATGTAAGCAAAACACTACATGATATAAATATCCATAACATCTTTAAAGACACAACTCCAAAAGCAAAGAAAGTGAAGGAAAAGATAAACAGCTGGGATTACATCAAACTAAAAAGCTTTTGTACAGCAAAAGAGACATTAACCAAAACAAAGAGACATCCTTATGATTAGGAGAAAATTTTTGCATACAATGCAACTAGTAAGGGACTGATCACAAAGATTTACATAGAACTCACAGGACTCAACAAAAATAAATAATCCAGTCAAAAAATGGGAAGAAGAGTTAAAAAGACTTCTCCAAAGAGGAATTGCAAATGGTCAAAAGGTATACAAAAAAATGTTCAACATCACTTAAATCAGGCAAATGCAAATCAAAACCACAATGAGATACCACCTTACACCAGTGAGAATGGCACATATTAAAAAAAAAAAAACAGGCAACAAGAAATTTTGGCCAGGATGTGGAGAAAAGGGAACTCTCCTATCATGCGGGAGGGAATTCAAACTTGTCCAACTACTATGGAAAGTTATCTGGAAATTTCTCAACCTGCTAAAGGTGTAGCTTCCATATAATCCAGCAATTAGACTCCTAGAAATGTACCCAAAGGATACAAAAGCATTAATTGAAAAGGATACCTGCCCCCTAAGTTTATTGCAGTGCTATTTACGATAGGTAAGAAGTGGAAACAACAGAAATGCTCAAAAATAGATTACTAGATCCAGAGGATGTGGTATATACACAACAAAATACTATTCAGCAATCAAAAAGATCAGCACATGCCATTCTCAACATGCATAGAGCTAGAAGGGATCATGTTCAGTGAAATAAGCCAGAAATGAATAAAAATATACATTGGTTTCACTTATAGGAGGAATATAGGGGAGTCAAATAAGGGATCAGGAAAATAACCAACAGTAATAATAAATAAAAAAACAAAATTAGCAAGCAGCTATTAATCAGAGACATTTTGCAAGGGATGGGAAGGTAGAAGGAGCAAAACACGGGAGAGAAGAGCACAAGGGACCGTGGTGAAGGCTCATGGGTGAATTGGTGCTGGGAATTTCATGGGGAATACACCTGAGGAGAAAGCATACAAGCATATATTGTATAAAAAAGAACAATGACATTTTATACATACACACACACACACACATAAATGTATATAACAGTATTGAGATTGCTTAAAAAATTAAAAGTGTATATGCCATAGGGCCCAGCAGTCCCCACTCCTATGTATCTACCCACAAAACACAAATACACTACTATGAAGGGCACTTTGCACATCCATGATCACAGCAGCATTAGTTACAATATCCAATCTATGGAAACAACCAAAATGCCTGAAAACAAATGAGAATTCAAGATGTGGTATATAGATAATAGAGTACTACTTATCAGAAAAACAAACTCATGCCATCTGGGGCAACATGGATGGAGCTAATTGAAATAAGTCCAAAGGAGAAAGACAAATATGTCACCCATATATGGATATAGAAAGTCTAACAAAGGGGTATATTAAGGGAAACTTAAAAACTAACCCTTGAACCCCCCAGGCTGCGCCTATTGCTGACCAGGGCTGCAAACCAGCCCAGGCTTCCTGGTCCGGCAGTGCTGGGTGGTGGACTGACCCTCTCTAGTTTGGCATCAGACTCATTTGATGACAAAACCTGACTCCCGGGCCTCCCCGGTGGCACAGCGGTTGAGTGCTGGGTTGCGAAGCTGCCCGCGGCCTCTGTGGCGCCAGTTCGATACCCAGCTGCTCCCCGGCCACCGGAGGAGGGTCCCACATGGTGCGCAGACCTTTCCTGCAGCCCGTTGCTCCCCTCGGCAGTGTACTTCAGTCCTTCTGCCTGCTCTGCTCCCCGCTCTGGCTCTGGTGAATTCTCTCACCCTCCCGCGCTTCTGACTGTCCCCAGTGCATGTATAAACAAACAAACAAGTAAATAAATAAATAAATAAATAAATAAAATTAAAAAAAAAAAAAAAAACTGACTCCCACTGACTGAGTCCCCCATTGTGTCTTGTTGCATGTACAGCACCCCTGGATCCTCCAGCCTCCCCTACTTGCTAGAGCTCAGATGGATCTTGTACTCGATGATGCAGATAATTATATTATTATACCATTTCCATATCCAACCACAGGGCCAGAGTATGTCATTCTCCTAGTTATAAGAAATCTTGGTGCTTTTATCCTTTATTTCCTCTTTGCGACAATGAGTGCTATTTTGTCTATAGGCATTCCCTAATGAACCACCCACAATATTTATAGAATCAAGTCTACTGAGAATCATGTTTATTGTTAGGTCATTACCATGGAGTAAGTATTCCCACCCTCTCACTGTTCCTGTGGAGCTGAGAGGATACAGCAATTTACATGACACCATAGGAGAGTTTCCAAACAGCTGGATCAACTCATTGTTCCTGTGTGGTCCTTCCTCTTTCTCACCAACATGCTGATCTACTGGATTTACAGAGGCCTTCACCATAGACTTACAAATAAGCAAATTCATGAACTTCATCTCTGGAAGAGCCTTCTTCACCTGCAAGTCATGATTTTTACCCTGTGGATGGCTTTCTTCGGAGTCTACCTTATCATCTCTACCCTTTCATTTTTCCATTACATCAGCTGGTTTGTTTAAGTTGTACCTTTCGGTCAATATCTGACCAATTTCCATTCATGACAATGATTTCTGTCTCCTCAAAACTTTTTTTTTATGATTTTTTAAAAGATTTATTTTATTGATACAAGAGCTGGGATACAGGCCAGAGGCACAGGAAGGTGAGACGATTCACCAGAGACAGAGTGGGGGGCAGACGGGCAGAATGACCAAAGTCACTGCTGAGGGGAGAGCAGCAGGTGAGACAGGAGAGGTCTGTCGGGCCATGAGGATATCTCCCTGGCTGGCCAGGACTCGAACTCATGCTGTAGAGGCTGCAGACAGCTTCACAAAGGTGTGCTCAACCCACTGCGCCACTGGGGAGGTCCTGTCTCCTCAAATCTTAAGGCCATTTATTAATGACTGAGCTCATCATACAGACCATCACCTCTTTTCTAACTACAACTGTGGACAAATATTTTTACATTGCAGGGTAGAAATGCACTGCTGAGGGGAGCAGCAGGCGAGAGAGGTCTGCTGCACAATGAAGTATGCTCCCTGGCCAGCCGGGGATCAAATTCGTGCTGCATTGGCTGGCAGTAGCTTGATAGCATTGTCTTTAACCACTGACTACCAGAGAGCCCCTACATTGGATTTTGTCTGTCTTCTTTACCTATCATTTCTACTTGAACCTTTTTGGCTGTGTATGTCAGTTTCAGTTTACTTACTTATTTTTTTTTTTTTTTAAAGATTTTATTTATTTATTTATTTATTTATACAAGCACTGGGTACAGTCAGAAGCGCGGGAGGGCGAGAGAATTCACCAGAGCCAGAGCGGGAGGCAGAGCAGGCAGAAGGACCGAAGTACACTGCTGAGGGGAGCAGCGGGCGGCAGGAGAGGTCTGCGCGCCATGTGGGACCCTCCTCCTGTGGCCGGGGAGCAGCTGGGGATCGAACCGGTGCTGCAGAGGCTGCGGGCAGCTTCACAACCCAGCGCTCAACCGCTGCACCACCGGGGAGGCCCAGTTTACTTACTTATTAATTAAGGATGGTGATCATGCCTCACATCCTTTCCTATGTTTGCAGAAGAGCCCTTTGTCCTTTATGCCACCCCACTGGCTCTTCATTTCGGCCCTCTCTTCTACTTCACCATGTTTTGCCAGCTCCTATGTCTTCTTCTGTTGTCTGACAACTAGTCTCTAAACTCTTACATCTCTGTACCTCTTACATCAAGTTTTTTAGATTTCTATACTTTTCGGAGTCTATATTACCAGGGCCTGGAAACCCCTTCATTATCTGCTTACCTCTCTGACTCTAAGCTCTCCACCTTGCCCTCTTTGCTAACTTCTCAAGACCATCCAGCTTTCCCCAGTGTGTGCTAACATGGCAGGCTGATTATTTTGAGGTGAAGAA